CATACATATAAAAAAAAAATAATGCCAAATGCGTTGCGTGAATATTGACAATAATTTATAGAATTTCATCCATGGTATGTGTTTAAATGTGTAATACATGTTTATAGTTATACGATATTATTCACCCGTACGAAGGGAGAGTCCAGTGACGTGCTGTGGGTGGTGCAGAGGGAGAAATAGCTCCGGGCGGCATACCAAAAGGGGGCGGCAAGCTTCGCTATTTATTTAGTTAAAAATGAATCTATATGGAAATACAGACGTAAAGTACAATTTTTATGAAATGACTAATATTACTGTATGTATAATAATTAAGGCATTCCATTTCAATTTTAGTTATTTACTAATACTATAGTCACTAGTGTCATATAAGTTTCTTTGTCATAAGATTTATTAAGAACTTACAATGAGTACAATTAGCAAATACTATAAAGTTAAAAATTCTGAATAACATTACTTAAATATTATTCATTTATTTTAGGTAGATTAGCGATATAATGGAACATTTAGAATTCATATCGTAATTACTCTCTGGCAATTAATAACCAATAGGATTACTGAATTCTGTTCGTGTTCATTAAATAGTTTTCGGTTATTTTCGTTACCATGTGAACAGATTCAAACGCCTATAAGTAATGATGTATTATCAAATACACTATTATACAAATAAAGAGTTCCATTAATCATGTCTGTAACGGAATTTATGAATAATATGTTTTAATTTTGTTAATGCCCTTTCTATGTCGTTGCAAAGCATTATATATAAATACCAATAACAAACTTGTATATTCACTCACCTAGACTTGTATAACCTTAAGGTATAACACATAAAAATTACTTATCACTATAAATAAAAGAACATATTCACAAAATAGTCTCCACATATAATTTCCACATAGTTCGATAAGACGATATAACCAACCTTCACTTCATTACAGTAGAAAATACACGATTGTCATGTGATTTTCGGCTATAACAGTTTATCACATGAATGTTTATAGGCTATTTTATCTGGATTTAAGAGGCCTACCGTCCTAAGTATAGCGATATGGCGATATCGATATGTGTGAATATTTTAATTTTCGTGACTGATATAAAATTTTATTATAAAAGTATATTAACTATTTATCTTATTAATATTATAAACGCGAAAGTTTGTACATATATTTATATATATGTACATTCTTATATCTTCTGACATTTTACGTAGTTTGGAAATGCAAAGGAATATATCTAATAACAGTTAATATTACAATGGTGCTATTTATCATTATCCAATGATACCAGTGTAATAATGTCACAGTAAAATCTATCGTACATTTGAAACTATTTGTGTCTGCCTGCCCGGTAATTAGCTCTTCACTGTTAAACGACTGATCAGATCTTAATGAGATTCAACGTTACATAACGAGGACATCTAAAAAAAACAGACAAAGTAGCAGAAAACATCTAAGTTCTAGTTCTCCTTTTTTAATAAATACTTGTTAAACGGTGGGCCTCTTAACTACTGCTGCATATTATCCAACTGAAGTTTTACATCGTTCGTAGGCGGGTTATCTTATCGCAATTAGTAATCTCGTGCCGTAAGTATTCTGATAATGCGGCTAATGTTTTTCTTACGCGCATTAGTATGGTAACTCCACTGCCTCATATTTGTTACTCTACATTATATACAGATAACCAGCTGTTACCGCGTCTATACTTATTCTTTTTTATAAAGGTTAAGATTATATACTCTATATACAAGTAGCTACATGTCCGGTGTACATGTATTATATATATAAACATTCCTCTTGAATCACTGTATCTATTAAAAAACCGTTTCAAAATCCGTTGCGTAGTTTTTAAGATTTAAGCATATATATGGGACAGATAGCGACAGCGACTTTGTTTTATACTATGTAATGATATATCTTCAAGTTCGGCTAGTGCAACCCCGAAACGTCGAAAGAAATACCTTTATTTGCAATAAACTTAATCGTGTTATGACTCGGTTAATAATAGAAATAATGAATATATCGTCACGTCAAATTTCACTACGATATATTCTACTATTTAGTCGTTTACTACTTTTCGGTCTTATTTGTAGTCTTATTCTTATTTGGGGTCTTATTCCTAATCAACCGTCTCCAGGGGCATCCTGTCTGGTTCGTCGTTGGTGGTGGTCTATTTACTATTGAGAGATCTTATTTGATAGCAATAATTTCATAAATTTTTTGCCGTAAATACGTTCCGCTCCAATCCGTTTTTTTTATAATTAGAATATATTTAAAGGTATTTTTTCAGTATTTCGATAATTAATTATAGTTCCAATGTTTTGCACATATTTCATATTTCTATATTGTCCTAGATTGTTCATATGAATAAGCTAAATATAGTTTTTTTATGAAAATTGAGATTTTTTATTAGGTGTAATTTTAAAATAAACTTGTTTAAAGAAAATCTGAGTAGTGTGAAATTTTATAACAGTTACGTTATCCTGTGGACAACATTTCATCCAGCTTAATTAGTTATTGTAGAATATTTTCGTTGCAGTATGTTTAATATAGAGATAGGTCGGGGATATATAGCCTAAAGGAACAACAAGTCTTGGCTGTGTTCTCTATAATTTCAGTATTTATGAAATGGAAAGAAGAGTTCAAAGAACAAGGTGTCGCAGTACATAGGACACGAACACACAAACAAGCAAATATGAATTTATAACCTATATCGCAAAATTTTTTGCTTGTAATTAATAGTCGTTAAGTTTAAGATAAAAATTTATAATTAATATTATCGATTAAAGAAATAGTGAATACTATTATAAAATATTATATAAAACAGTAACTAGGTATTTCAATAAACTTTACATCATTATGTTGACAACACATAAAAAATTCACACGCCAAATGTCAACTTCACAAGCAAAATAGTTTTTAAAAACTCTTTTACACCATGTTGAACGAACGAGTAGACTTACATATATAATGTCGAAACTAGTTCGTACATTGTTTAACCTGAAACTAGAAGTTGGAAAAAAAACTAATAGATGTTTTGCAGTCGGTACTATAAAAGTAATAAAAATACAATCTATTAAAAAATAGAGATCGTCTATGTTATGAGATACCCGGAATATAAACCTAAAACCGGTTATAATTTTGGATTCTATATTTATAGCAATAATCTTTATTTCATTCAATATTAAATCTAATAAGTGTCAAATTCCTGAACTCAGGAACTTCTGAAGGTAGGGCTTCAGATTGGAGCAGGCAATAAGATTACTTACAATAATCAAATTCTGCAAACTAATATCAAATGTCATAACTAAGAGGAAATGCTTTATTTAATTAAATACTAATTAATTTTTCGGTAGTAATTTGATCAATTTTAATATAAACCATTCTGACTTGCTGATTCAAAATTACTGTATCCAGAATATTTTCTATCTCGACAGGTAAGTCTGAAAGGGCAGATCAAGCTAAGAACAGGCTAAGAGCAGGAGCTGCGTTAATGAAATTGTACAAATCTCCCCAAGAAGGAAAATGAAAAATATTTTTATACTTTCATAGAAATTGCGTGGTCATGTGTTTATTTTAGTAAGAAATCTTATTAATATTATAAACGCGAAAGTTTGTGCGTATGCAGGGATGTTTGTTACTCTTACACGCAAAAACTACCGAAACGATTTTGATGAACTTTACAGTAATATAGTTTAAACATCAAAATATCAATGAGGCTATAAATTTCAGGCGGGTGAAACCGCGGGCACAGCTAGTATAATATACATATATTTTCTAGATGTACACGTATTGCTTGGAAATGGTTCAGTTTCATTGTTTCTTTGTGATGCACATAAGATTTAATGTTATCTTATATGTGTGATACAAAAAGAGCTGATCATAATTTAAAAAATAATAAGTACGCAAATCACGTTTTCTCTGTCATTATGTCAGTACAATTATACTAAGATCCAGGTTGCATCATTACGTCTCTCCATATACAAGTATCACTAACTGAGACGATAAAACAGTATTGACTACCTTACTGGTACTGACATAGTGACTGACTCTCGCTATACGAAGATGGGTCTACTGCTGTCATGTTGGCTAGGACATAATTTTAAATTTCGAATGCACTGAAAAATAGAGCTTATTCCTAGTACATAAAGTATTTAATAATTCAGCACTTTTTATGTGATTATTGTCTGCTCTATTTTTTTCTATCATGTAAACATTCACAAATATTATATGGTAGTCTTTGAATTTTCTAACAGCATAATATTCATACGCCATAATTATATAACGTCATCCGTATCAAATAACAAGACACTCCTATTAAACTGTACACCTTAACTTAAATATATATATTTGTATCGTGTGTGAAGCAAACCGGTAACTTCATTTATTAATAATTACTCGCATGCTACTTTTTATCATCATCATCATCATCAGCTTTTTCCTTATCCCATTTATTTGGGGTCGGCGTAATATGTTTTTCGCTTCCATTCATCCCTGTTCGCAGTCATCGCGTTATTTATTTCCTTTCTTACCATATCATCTTTCACACAGTCCATCCATCTCTTTTTCGTTCATATGTAACACCTTTCTTAAAAGGTGTTCTTCTTTCGCATGCTACTTTTTATACCCACAACAAAATAATAATTTGCAACGATGTGATTAAAGATGGACTTAAATCTAATAAGTATTATCTGTCAGCTTGTCCAACACACATAAGATGTATTTAGAAAATTATGGTAGTGCGATATGCGATGTTCCAGCCATGCCAGCCAGCCAAAGTGTGATGTAGTATACGTCAGGTAGACTTTAGCCGCACCATTGCGGATTTGGTATGCCCCAAGTACTCGTTTCCAGTGCAATAGAAATACCGTTTTAGTCTTTTTTAGTCCGATGCATTAAAATAAATCAGAAGATAAAAAAAACCGATGTTGCCAGTAGTCAAGCATTATATATCTGCTAGTTTAATACCAATTGCTTATAGATAGAAGTCAAAGATTTCACACTAACCTTTATCTCTCCTTGACCCTCTGCACAGCAAGCTTGAAGGTCTTTCAGCAGCAGTTGATACTTGGTTATACGCTGCACAGGTTTGATCAAATACGCCGCCAACGGATGCTCCAACTTCTTTTTACGTTGAACCCTATTTCGAAAAGAGCGATTTTGTTTATCTCGTTGATATTACCAAAGATTTATAAAGATTATATATATTTGTACACTCAAGACCATAGATAAACAGAAATTAAGTAATGTGGCAAGTTTAGATAAACAATACAGTTTGATATGTCTGTCAATTTTGACGATAGAAATATCTTTTATTATGATACCAGTATAGTCACGTCGTTGACATCAAATAAAAACATTGTATTGTTATTACAAATTCTCGTCGTCGGTATTGTTTAAACGATAATTTCATAGTTTCAATCGATATAAATATATTAACAAGATAATAACCATCTATTATTTCACTAAATAAACACTACCAATTAAAAGTTGGCAGTGTAAATGTACCTGAATTGTTAGAGTATCATTCTAAAATTTTTTTTGTAAACAAAAAATGTTTCATTGCCCAAGCTAAAGACTATGCGGAAATTGAGTCCAATATATACAATAACAAAAAAAATATAAATGAGTCTGTTCGTAGGAGCAATCTTCTTAAATCAATCTGTTCAACCAATAGTTTGCAAAGAAGCAATGCTAAAATAATAGTTTTAGTTTCTATTATTATTTATATAAAACGTAATATTGTTATAAATAAAATTTTTATATAAATGTAAAAATTGGATGGATGCAATATTTAAAATAATTTCATGTAACTCCATTTAAAGCCTAGTTTTCTTAATTTACGTCACTCCATCTAGAACCTAGTTTGTACGTGTCATGCTTCAAAACTTCATAAGTTAAATAAAGCAAGCACAGATTCAGGATTACCTACGCACCCTGCTTTGTAACTACCAAAATTGATGCTCTCTCAGATAGCAACTCAGTAGTACGTCATAAACTTGCTTTTATCCGCCAGAGGGCGTCCTAAACGAATATCAAAACTTCAATAGGGTGTTTACTATTTACAGGTTTAATCAAATTGAATTATTTAAAAAGAAACAATATATGGTCATTTTCATTTGGAATTATAAAAGTACGTGTATGTATGTCCGAGAGAGAGAGAATATATATCAAAAACATTTATAGTGAATGTCTTTTTGTGCTCACTTAAAAATCAACTCTGAAATTTTAGAAAATATTACCCTAAATTGGAAATTTTTATTTTAACGTTCCTAAGTAAACTGAATAAAAACATTTTAGACAAAAACTTCATGTCATTTAGTACTTAACTGTTGGTTACACTAAATCAGACATAGGTTAGTAGCAATTCATATCGATAGATGGCGCTATATTTAAAATAATGACGGAATAGAAAAACTATGTTACTTTTTTTTAAAACTAAACCTAGAATGTATAACAATACACCTAGATCATCATAAAGATCTGTAGAATAAGTAGATTGCACATCGTACTTACAATAACATTTAGAGGAACGTTACATCTAATATTGTTATGTCTAACAATGCTTACCTTTCGAAGTAGTCACCAGCATGCTGCACGACCGCCGCATTGCTGTCTGGTTTGTTCCGACAATAAGAGACGTACATATCGAACTCTCGTGCCCAAGTTACGAAGCAATGGCCAACATCTTCCGGCATTGTCTCATATTTGTCCAGTTCACGCAGAAATACGCGCTCGTGAAAGCGGTGGATCTCTTCGATGTTCCCGAATATGATATCCTCCTGGTAACCAAAATGACATTAATAATATGTATATCTTCAAATACGAAAATTAAACGGCATACCAAATTCGAAATTGAGGGAATATCTAGTAAAACTATATAGGTATGTTAAAATTTGAAAGAATTATAGCTTGATTCTCTCAAGTTCTGAATTCATTGAGCTTGCAGTTCTTCAGTTTTCTATACTGATATTTGATATTAACATAATATGTACTGAACATCTAGCATAATCAAAGAAAAAAAATAGCATAGTCTCAAATGAATTTAGAGTGTCAGTTAATAAAGTTGCACTTTCATGTAACTCTTATTATTAATAATGACATTATTGTGATCAAAAGTCCTAATGTGTGATACTGTATTCAGATTTGATATGTCGAAAACAGATTAAAACTCTAATGTATATTAAATAGCTTTCAAGTTACATAAAACGTCTAAAATTACAACGTGTGCTGAATTCACAGCTTTGGAAATTCTAAATAACATTAATATAGAAATACTAACCTTGCCCTGCAACGCTTGCGGTACAGCGCCGGGATCTGTGCGCATTTCGCGTAAATAGCAAGTGATACATGTCTCCAAATCCTTGACATAAGCCCGCTCTGTTTGAAGCAGCTCAGCCATGATGAACCTGCAGGAAAGAAGGCCCCATATAATCAGATATCTATAATATTTATAACATTAAAATAAATCGATCGTTCATCATACTCGTCAACCATAACAGCGTCCATTAAATAAAAATCTGCGCACGTGTATTATGAATGAAATAGCTGCTCTAACAATTTTATTGGAAGAAACTTAATAAGAATTTTAATTTTTCTCAACGTACTCTTTGCGTCTGGCGCTGCGTCGCTTGTCGTCACCAGCGGCGCTCTGCTGCGGTTCCACTCGAGTATCCGCTTCAGCAGATTGCGATGATGCAAGTGAAGGAGGCACACTCGTATCGCTTTCGGCCTCACTCTCACCGCCTTCCATCGAACCGCTAAATTCAGCATATCTAGTGATAAAAATTTCATATGAAATTCATTTATAGTCACTGTAGAAGTAATATAAAGAAAAAGAGTAAATACTTCTAACTAGAAAAATATTTCAGAAAGACCTTTGTATATCACTTACCTTGCATCTACAGCAGCCACCCACTCTTTGATCTGCACTGCATGAGGATGCCCCTTCTCCACGAGACCATCGGCAAGCTGAGCCAGCAGTCGAACCCTCTCGCGACTTTCTCGAGCCACGCCGGCAGCAGCAGCCGCTGCAGCCGCGCCACACCTCTCCTGCGTCTCCCTAATCCATTCCACTGCGGCGCGAGCTGACCGCTCGAACAGCGCGAACTGTTGGCACTGCTCTAATCTCTTCTTACGCACTGTCCAGTGTTCCAGTACCTATTTAAACAAAATACCATTTTAAATAACTATAGATAGTCAAATATAAAATTTAAATTTAAATAGCTTCCATAAAAATCTCATTTGTATAACAAATAATAGTCTCCACCGGTTGCAAAAGAAGCATGACCAAATTCTTCAGCATTATCACAAAGAGCGCACAGATACGCAAGAGGCATGATGTGCCGAATCCTAACCACCAAATGACGGACGGACTCATGTTAAATGCGTTGATACCATCGCCGCTCGCAACAAAAGCGTTATTGTTCCTAACGGCCACTCGGCCCTCTGTGACACTGACACTGACAATGAACAATCACTAAAATACAAATAATAACTGAGTGTCCACATTCCGTAACACATATTTGACACAATTCATATTTATTGTTGACCAAAACAAACAAACACCTGCAGAAGTGTTTGCCAATGTTTGTTTGTTGGTGCGAAGGACTATCGTTGTATACAAAATATTATCGGGGATACGCGACAAACTCATGATCTAATATCCGGACTTACATATAACAATGATGTTTAAAAATAAACCTCTTTTGTTTTCACAAATTCACACAATTACAATTGTCCCGATTAGACTCAGATAACAGTTAAAATGTCTAATTATGTCATAAAAAAATAACGCCAAATAACTCAGGATGGAATTGAGGGTACTCGTACAATTTATATTTATTATATTCTATCTTTCAACGTAAAGTGTAATACTAACGAAAAGACGGTAAAGGTATACCTAAATACAAAAGAAAAAAGTAAAAAGAGAAGAAGACGGAGCTGGGTTTACAAATAAAATCAGATTATTCGCAGAGTTTTTGAATTCCAATTTATTAATAAATCTTCTTTAAGTAACTATTTACTGTTATAACCTAATCAATATTTTAGTAAATTTATTATTTTTATACCAAGTAATATATAGTGGAGGCAAGGAGAATTACATAACAAACCCATACATGCATTTCTTGCCTCAATCACTTGCAAAGCTCCTCTAATACTCGTGCATGAGTGACAGACCAATTTTCTAAGCCATAAAAAAATCACATGAGTCCGTATAAAGAAATTACCCTAGATTATAGCGTAACTGTAATAGAAAGAAATCTACGATAATACATAATAATTAAATCCTAATGCACCCCTTGTATAATGGTAGGACACTTTTATAGGCGAAGGTTATTAGATATTCATCGCCTATTATTCTGATTACACTGCAGCCTGCAATCGTGCACGTAATTGCGTCTATGCGACTATTATGTTATGGTTGCAGTACATATTAAAGTATATTATGTAATATACCCTCTCCATTTAAAAAATAAAATTCAATTTTAAACTGCTATTTATAATACGTCTATAAAATAAAATGCAGTTGTCTAATAAATTCTCTTTGGTTTAAACGTTTCTATTATTTAAGGGAAGGCTGAAGAAAAGTGGATGCTTTAATAATAAAAATGCCATGCTCACAGCCTATTCTAAAATTACTTGATGAATAAATGACACGGTTATACCTTTTGTCGTGGCACTTTTTTTTTAATTTAATATAGATCTATATGTTAGAATTACATAGTTTTAAATAAAAACGGCGAAGTGCCGGTTAGTATGTACTTGTTAGTGGTCACTGTATTCGGAAATCATTCTATTTGTTTCAATTACTCTGACTTTTGAACAAATTTAAGCACCGGACAGGTACAAATACGCAAATTCCTAAAAAGTCAAGAAGTGTAGCGTGGATTTTAGAGCATTGAAAAAGTATTTTATATATACAAAAATTCTGTTGCATTTCTGTTTTGGAAGTCACATCAAAAAGTTTTGGAGTACTAAGAGTTAAAACAACTCTTAGTAGTCGACTTTAAGATTTGTGTGTCTACAAAGCACGTCAGAGAGGTAGAAACTTACAAGATTGAAGACATATTGTCGAACATGTGTTACACACAATTCAAAATTGTTTTGAATAATATATTCAAATTCTTCTCTAAATACCTATTACAAAGCTATATCGTTGTTTCCGCCTGTTTCTTACTTCCAGAATTTCTGTCGGTAAGTTTGTAAGTGTAATACATATTATATCTTAATAAATATTATACTTATGCTACACCTTTTACACACCACAGAGCTGGGTAGCAATTAGAATATATTTTCAAACATTTGTAGTTATCCAGACTTCGTACGGATGACAGAATGATATAGAATATCTTCTGCTTACAACATGGGGGAAACTACAGTCTGTTTTTCTATCTCAGAGACAAATCTGACACTACCAATGTTTGCAGCTTTTTGAGATTGTTATGTATTTTTGTGGTACTATCATCATCTTATTACCAACGGAAATTAAATTAACACATTGTTTTCGGGAAACGAGTAAATCTGTACCCCTTTTTATAGTAAAACGCGCATAACGAGTTTACTCGTTCTGTTACGAGAAGTGGTAAGGTGGAGGATACTTGCAAACATAAAAATATCAAATATATTTAAGATCCATCCAGGCTATAGTAACCATTTAACATCAGATGGGCCGTATGCTTGTTTTACTGTTGGCATAGTATATAAAAAGATACAAATGAAACTGTTGTTAGTTTATTAATCTTCGAGGCTAAATTGACAGATGTAAATATCAAATTTTCAAATAATGTTACCAATTTGTATATCTGCGATAATGATTATACACTAATGTTTCCATTGCTGTCGTTATATAACACAAAAATACAGTTTTGTGGTTTCTGTACATATACAGCATTAAACTACAAACCAATATTTTTTCCCTTCATACTGATAAATATTTTAAATAGATGTGTTTTATCGAATATGATACCATACAAATGTCATTTGTTTTTTTTTAAAAAGGAAGTGTTTTTTTGTTTTAGCGAAATATATGTATGTCAATGAAAAAAAAAAACTATTTTGATACAACAACTCTATGTTTATTGATACCTATTTTAATAATGCTGTGTTACTGCGTTTAAAATAAAAATCCACACATTATATCTGCGTAACTTATAGAAATGAGTAATTGATATTAATTTCCGGTAGTACCCCAAACTATTTAAAATTTCATAAAGCTGGCAACATAGGTAATGTCAATTTTAATTCCGAGAAAAAAGAACCAGACTATAATTTTAGAATGAAAATTTATAAAAAAAATCCGTAACAACGGCAGCGATTTGGCAGAATTTTTTTAATAATAATATTCTTAAAGTTTACTCAGATATATTTTTTGACGGTAATTTAAAATGCATTTACACAACAAAAGAATTGACATGTTTCTCTAAAACAAAAGGTTTACTGCCTTTTTAATATAATTAATGTATGGCGTCATATTAAATAAACATATAGCAAACTTAAGCCTGCGCTTAACAAACTCTTTTGGGAAGTACACACTATATCCTGTAATGATAAAAACCATCGCTCATATCAATCAAATTATTGTCCCTGACGGATCTAGGTAACGAACTTTGAAAAAAGGTGAGCACAATCGGTAGATCGCAGTACTGTAGACCTAGTAAAAGACCAAATCGTAAAAAAAAAAAGTTCGGTATGAAATATCAGAAAACAAAAACTATTTAAAATAATTAGCTATTTGAAAGAAAAAAAATACTATATACCAGCAAACCCGGTCACGCGTTGCTATGGCTAATAATAAGACAAATAATTTGCAATAAAATAATATTGCTACTATAAATTGAGATATAAGCTATCCTATCTTGCAAGTCGGGCAAACAATGAGCAAGTCCATAGCGGCAAACAAAGTGACACTTAATTTTTATGTATAAAGATGTACAGAAACCAAAAAAATTATTTTACAAAATAATATATAATACAGACGCTAATGAGCACCCGCTACTTCCGGGTAATTAGAGATGAGTTGCCGACCTTTTATGAAGGGGTGCATAATGGATGAAATTAAGAAAGGGATAGGAGGAAGCTGGGTGCCCAAAACCTGGACTCACCATGGGAAACTGGACAGCACTTAACGTCTTCAGATATTCTGAGGAGATATGCTTTTTCCTGAAACTAGCTGGCCCATTACTGCGTGCTCTATCACTTAACATCAATATCTAAGCATTCTCTAAAGTCTCACCTTGTTCTCCTGTGCCAGTAAAGTGTCCAATATAGCACGAGTTTGTTCATGATGCGCTTTACTAGCGGCAGGGGTTTGCCCATGTACTTGAGCCGATCGAGCCGCGTACTTGAGGAAAGTTTCCGCGGTGCGACGTGCAAGCGTGCATGCTTTTAAAAATGCCTCCTTTTGTTCTCCATGTTTGACAATCAAAGCTGCCACCTGTTTAAAATTGAAATTTTAACAATATTGTTATTATATACTACAAGGTTCAAGATGCATTAAGTTAAATATATGATGGCCAATGTACTACAGTTGCCTCCTGAGCAGAATGGTATGATTACAACATTTCAATACAAGCATTCAACATTTTTTTGCAGCGGGCCATGGTTATGTTAAAATTGATGATACAATATCACCACTTTACTTATACATACTACTATATCATCACTTTAACATAACTGACAATATGATACAGCTAAGGAGTGTAACTCTATCCCAGCGTCTGTATTTCCTGTCTCTAACAACATTGGACCTTTCAAGTTAAGAGTGAATAGGCACTATTCCAGTATGCATGTAATAGCTTACAGTATCATCACCTAACATCAGGTAAGGTTGGGTCTAATGCGCTCAAACTTAGAAACAAAAAAATACTAACCTGTGCGGCTTTGTCTGCGATGTTCATAGCCTGAGTAGGTTCATCCGTCGGTGGTGCAGCGGCTGACCCACACCAGTCTTCGTCTCTGCGATATTCACGCTCCAAAGAGTCGAGTACTGAGCACACTTGTTCTGCTGTCTTATAGAAGTTGAGAGATGCAGTCACTAGCTTGTGACGCTCTTCCGCACAAGTGACTAGGCGTTGCCAGCGTTCAGTCACCTCTTCCGATATTTCTCTGAATATTAAGAGATTAATTTTAAAATTTTATTATTTAAACTATAGGATGAATTTCATTGAATAATGTACCAGTAGAATAATATATAATAATTTAATTACTTCAGCGAATCTTTTATATTAGAATTAGTTAATAAATAAAACGCGTAAATAACTTAGTTGGACATTTTTTTTCCTAATTTTGTTTATATCACGAATCAAAAATCCCAGAATCTACAAAAATAATATGCAGACATTACCATATCTTTGTTTTGCTTGTAGTGTCGATGTTTTTCTATTCCAATTTTAATTAATAATATCTTTTTGATTATTAGAATCTATTACATAAAATGAAGAAATGAATTCAAACAATTTTAATAATCAATGTTTCTCTTATATGTCAGATTTCAAATAGAGGATCTTACCTGATAGTGTGTGGATCATAATGGTTAGCGGCCCTCAATGCATCAGCCCTGTACTTGACTTGCACGGCGCTAGCGTGTGTCTTTTCTACCGCCACTTGGAACTGGTCGTGTTCTCTCTTCAGCTGTTCGGCCTCCGCAAGGGTGCCAGGGATCGAGAATGAGGCGGCCAGCATCGCTTCGCCATTACGAATCCAACTCACTACTTGTGCTGCATCTTTTTGAAATTGTCCTATAAACAAAGAATACAGTTCATTTCGAAGCTATTTCCGATTGTGCTTGATTGGTACATGATTTATTAAATGTTTTCATTTTCAATGTCTACTGTAATTTTAAAACTAGTATAATAAAGTAGAAGGATTTAATTATTGTTAGCAATACAAAATCTAAAAACATTTTGCAACCGATATTTTTTTCACTTACAAAAAGCGATCTTCTTAGCGAGAAACTTGTCCTATGTTTTATTATAAAACTAAATAGAAATCTCCACAATAATTGCACACGCGTAAGATGCTATGCGTTCGTGATTCATTAGAAAATGTCTATTAATAATATAAATAAAAACTTATATTTGTAAATTAAATTAAAAATTATATTTGTACTATAAAATAATTATATCATCCACAGAGAGTTCCCCACGTACATCTACTTACAAATTTAATAGAGTACTTTAAGATATTCGTACTTAAGTAGGAACTTTACTGAAATAGTATTTAATGTTGACGGCCTCGGTGGTTCTAGCAGGTGGACACCACTTTTCTTCCGATGATCGCAGGTTCGATTCCGGTACGGTACACACATTTGTTGAATACAAATGTTTGTACCGTACCGTAAGTGTGATTGTTTGCATCGGTATGGGTGTTTTCTATGTATATTATATATAAAAAATCTATCTAATCTAATCTAAATATTTATATTAGTTCTCTAGAATCCACAACACAAACTCTGCTTACCGTGGAACTATATGGCGCTGATTTAATTGTCCAGGGTTATTGTTATTATTAATGTAGACAAAATTTAGAGACTCGATTTGGGAATCGGGAGTCATAAAATAATAATATTCACGGAATTTTCTATTAATAACTTCCAAGCTAAGCAGATCTTGGAACAAGATGGAGTATTGGTTATGGATACCAGCAAAGTAATATAAATACATAGATATTTTATGGGTAAATACATACATAACATACTACGAAAATACCCAGACCGACACAAACAATCATACTCATGAATAAAAATTTTTGTACCTGCGAGGAATCTCACTCGCGACCATAAGTACTTGTTTTTTTATTAACGGTTTTGGTTTTAGCACTGCGAACTGCATATATCTACTGTGCTCGCCCTTTTTTTCAAAATTCACTATCTAGATCCGTCAGGGACAAGAATTGAAGCATATTCTTAGGAGTGATGGTTGTTGGCTCCTCAGGATATAGTGTATACTTTACACAGGAGTTATTTTATTTATGCGTGAGTGGGCTATAACCACATAGGATGTGTAGTGGCGTGCTTCTTTTCCTTGGCAAAATCTGCATTGTTGTTAAGTTGAGGCCTATTTCTGCCATGTCTTTATTCAATTTGCAGCGTCCAGTATAGCCCTTGTAATGGTACGTAATTAGTTTTTACTCAATACCAGTTTATTTGAGTACCGATTCGACTAGCCCGAGACTATTAGGGCTTTGGAATGTGCTAATCCTGGCATATTCTGCCACTGATTCAGTGCTTCCTCCTTGGTTATTATTTTGAGATGTAACAGTTTTAGGCAACGCGGCACACCGCAGTAGGACTCAGGGCCCTGTTAGGCAGTTTTTGCTCCTAACTTTCCCAGTTGGTCAGCCTTTTCATTGCGTTCAATGTTTTAGTGCCCTGGGATCCAACTTAGTATAATTTTTTTTCTGCTTCTTCGTTTAGTAGCAAGATACAGTTTCTAATGAGTTTAGATCGTATTTCGTATGAGTGAAGTGCTAGAAAGCCGCTGGACTGTCCGAATAGATGTATAAATTCTGGTGGATATAGTTAAGGCTTGGAATTACTCCCAAGCATCTTATTCAGGCGTAAGTGTCTGCCTGAAATATTGAGGCGCATTTTCCTAAGCCTATATATTTTACTCCGCATATTTCGTAATAGTGAGTTAGTGTATAGTTCCATTCGTTTCTTCCAGATATTTATATTGTAATATTGTACAAAGTTGTACACCATGTTGTCTTCAGATATTCACAGAATATGACCCTATTCTGGGGTCACCCTCTTTACCCTCATTATCGAGTCTTAAATTGTCTTTAACCCATTCCTTCCCACTGTCCTATTTTTACATTTAATTTTATTTTTCAACAAACTATGTATTTATTCTATAGCTACTAATGAAATTTGTATTTTAAAATATTTTTTCTATTAAAATATGTTTTTTGGTAGTAATACATATTTACGTCATTTTAATACATATTATAACTTTTTTTTAATGTCTTAAGACCTTAATCCTATTGCATCGATGCTTGGGAAGTAATGGGTTAAAGAAATGCCTGGATATCATTCTTTGGAACTGATTCTGAGCATGCTGGCTTTCGCCTCGACCATAAATAAGGCGGTGTGAAAATCGCTAGACTATCGAAGCCGTTAAATTTTATATGAATAGTTAAGTTAATTAATTATAATAATAAAGAATAACGGGATCCTTTGCTTAATAAACAAGGCTTGCGCTGTTAAGGTATAAACCATACATATAATGATGATAATAATACCCAAAATTGACAATTGTCTGTTATATGTCAGAAATGACAAAATGTGTGAGAACAATAATAATTTAAAATATGACCACATTTTTTGCATAAAATTATTTTCATTTTTCACATGACCGTACATTCCTCTCAACGAGTGATGTCATTAATAGATAGGCCTTTTTTTTATGAAATCAATATTAAATTGACTAAAAATTTAACACACACCTAGCTGGACGCACTGTTCGAACCGAGCGCGTCTTTCTTCAGCCAGCTCTTCAAGATCTAATTGCCTGTCGTGTAGAAACTCCAGTAGAAGCTGCACCCTCGATTGAGCGTCTAGAGGTGCCGCTTCAGGTCCGTCAGCTCCAGCAGACGCCATAACATCAGATGCCTCTGCGATCGCTGCTGCCAACTCCTGACCTTGCTTTACCACCTGGGGAACAAATTTAATTGGACATTAACATATTTGCTTACAGAGAACTTCAGTATTAGAGTAATATTATTTACACTAACATTACAGCACTGGTTTTTGTGAGCCAATATGATATTTAAACAATGAAGAAAAAAGATTATTCCTTCTTAAAAGGCCGGAACGCAATTGCAATTTCTTCTTGTTCATGGGCGGCGGTAATCACTTAGCATCAGGTAAGCTGCAAGATCGTTACCCAATGGTATAAAATATTTTTTCAGGGTATATTTTGATTCGAGCCGCTAGCTGACACTACACACAATATTTTTACATTCAAATTCCATACCGTTAACACAGTGTTATTTACAAATTGTTTTAATTAATTAAATATTATTATTGTTATTTCTATTAAATTTTTCAGTGTGTGTTTTTCTCCAAGTGAAATCATGATTTTATTGAATGAAAATGTGATTTTATTAATTAAATAGAAACTCAAAAATACTTAAAGTAATTAGAGATAGAGTACATTTTATTTTCGAAAAGTTAGGACGCATACAACATTTTTACTGCCACAAAACTCCGGCGGATTGTTCGTTATGCATAAATAACGGAGGGAATATCCCCGCATAATATAAACATTTGTACTTATGAGTATGTCCTTTTCTATTGGTCTGGTTGTTCTATGTACATAATGTATACAATTTCAAAACAAAAGCTAAATAAAAGAATTAAATACTTTGTTAATTAATTGTCTTTAAATAACGCAGTGGAAATGCAAAGCATTTTAAACAATTACTGTAATGGAAATAGTTCTATTACAATAAATACACACCTAGATCTGTCATGTTGTATGCATGGATCGTTTATTACTATTACACATTCTTTGCCTTGCCTTGTTTGAATTCAATTTATATATCAGATTAATTAATTTTATGTATAGGGAAATGGCCTCTGCGTTGTGGTCATTTTTTATATATCTAGAATCGCAAATGGGCAAACTACCTAATGGTAAGTGCAAAATGTCCCCTATATAAACAAATAATTCGTATAATACGTTGTCAAAGTATACCCGTGGGAGTATATGAGAAACAATTACATAGAAACTTCAAGGTAATACTAGTAAGACAAACAAAATGTTGTCTACTAAGCATTACAGACAAATTACCACAACATGGCTTATTTGTTGCCAATCCTAAAATATTACAATATAATATAGAATATCTATAAAAGTTTTAGGGTTAATTGTACTCGTAGATGAGATTGTTATACGTGCTCTGAACTCTGTAAATATTAAGAATGAGAGGGGAATGGAATTGCCAGTAATGTACCTCTACCTATGGGGTCATCCATCTGATGACCCCATAGGTAGCAATGTAGCATGTCAGGTTAACATTCACGCGGTTCCTCCTGAAAACCAATCTAAATAACTTTCTATTCTATGTTACTCCATATAACATTAGCTATCTGCAAATGAAAGTCCCATGAAAGAGCCAGGTTTCAGAAATTAGCAAACGCAAATAGAATTTTTAGATGTAAGAACCGTATATATTTCAAACTGAAAAACTGTTAATTTGAAATTACAAACACTTCAATTTTATTTACATAAATGTTTTTTTCGGACTACTCTAAAGCTGTTGGCCGCAACTAGCTTTTACATCTTCATCGGACGATAGGGGTGAGTGCAGATGTGCGACTTTAATCCCGCGGAAGGACTTACAGAGCGGCAGAAAGCCAACTCCCGCCTGACATATAAAGATGTATTAACCTGATAGGTAGCATGTTGCATCCTAGCCACACTTTCATTGTGAGCAGCAAGTGCCTGTTCCGCTTGTTGAGGATCACGAGGAGGTTCAGTTCGCTGTAATTCGTCACCCCACAACTCCAGACGTGAAGATACCTGGAAGTACATACACAATTTTATTGTAATAAGATAAAACATAGGCTAGTAATACCTGTAGTGGTCAATTTATGAAAAGAAATGTGACTTGTGTAGTTATGTATCTTGGGAATAATGCCTCGATCCGCGTTACATAATAAAGGCATTTAATTGTTTTATCTGCTCTAGATTATCTATCTCTAGTTCCTATCTGCGACTTACTCCATTTATAATAAAATATAGGGAATCTCTATACTTGTATCAGTGTATCGTCAAAGTTTATTAAGCCGCGTTCAGTGACAAGTAACATAAATTGTTATTATTATATATTAGAATTACTACTGTAATGAACTGTCCAGGATTATTATTCAAATCAAATCTAATCAAAAATAATTTCTTCATGTAGGACATTTTAGCCGCTTATGAACGTCAAATTTATAATTTTTACCCTACCGTCCAGTTCAATACACAGATTCAGTTGAGAAGAACTGACAAGAACCTTAATTGATTTTTTTATGTTATTTAATATTATTACACACCTCAAGAGCGTCCCTTTCGAAATGTCGTAATTGGAGAGTTAATTCAAGTCTCCGCTCGCGGTCCGACCAGAGCTCCTCGAGGGCGCCGCGAGTACCGCGGAGCCTTTCCAAGGTGGTCTCTACCGCAGCGGTGCTTGTAGCGTCTGAGTCGCCAGATGATCTGAAACAACATTATTACAACATTTACTTTAAATAAGTAATTTCCTCACACGCTTACTCTAATTGTGGAATTAACTATCTTCTGAGGTATTCTAGAGACTACGGATTTTGAATTTCAACAAGAATATATTTAGGTTACTTAAGGGTAGACAACGTGCACGTGACACCTCTAGTGTTTCAGGCGTTCATAGGCTACGGTAACCGTTTACCATCAGATAGGCCGCATACTTGATTACCACCACTGTGGTAGAAGAAAAACTTTTCGCCAGGCCCACTACGTCATAGGCAAATAAAATCGAATAGTCACGTGACTTAGTCGTGTATACCTTATTTAGCTGTATCACAGTAAATATAGTGTACACATATACATAAATGTCTGTATAAATACATGTTTCCTATAATTAAGACAAAGTACTCAAGTTTTGGCACGTGTATTCCATAGACGTACCACGTTACATGTATTATATACCTGTTATACCTGCTAGAACTATAATATCTTAAGATATGCCATAACAAAGTAAGACGAGGTATATTAATTTATCGGAAAATTTCACTGTAAAAATATGTAATTTGCAGTAAAATTTAGTTTATTATTATTATATACATACTTTGTCATCCTGCATTCTTTCCCGATAACGACCAGTCTTTCTTGAACCTATAAAACCTACCTTACTTAGCTTTAAGAAAAAGAAATGTGCCTAGTTATAATCAAAGCAAATCTGTACTGTTCTTACTAAACAAACACGCCGTCCTCGTACATTCAAATTGAGACATATAATTGAACTGCCAAACATTTTATTTACCCATGACTTCGGTATTGACTATTAATTGAATCAATTTAGCCACTCCCAATGTTTTTAATACGATATTTTATTCAGTGGCTTTTCGCAGGAGATTTGTACAATATATTCACATGATAGGAGGGACGCAAATTTATCAACATATATATATTTACTTCCATATATATTTATTCCATATATACTTCTGGCAGTATTCGATAGTATAATCTATACTATAATATACCCTGATATTGTATGTGTGTGTATTACAAAAAAATATACTTCCATATAAATTCGAGGCATGTAATTTACGTTATATATTATATTTTATGACAAGCGTAAACATTAAACTTCTTGTATAAAGATTAGAAATAAGGCACTCTAAAGCATTAATATAAATGTAAATGATGCTCGAGTGACATAAATGAATATTTATAAGTACAATATTTTTCTTTTTACACAAAATAATAAAAACAGTACATAACAATGTGGACTATGGAACTATAAAATATTGAATTAAGCAAATCTCAGATATTTTTCTTTTTCAATACAAAATAACGTCCTAATTTAATTAAGCTAAGTATTAAATGGACGAAAGTAGAATAGAATAGAAAATCATTTATTCAAATAAAGATAATTTAAGCACTTTTGTATAATCATAACATTTTTTTTAATCTACCGCTCTTTCGGAAATCTTTCTCGTCACAAGAAGAACGAGGAAAGTTGAATTATATACCTATAAACATGCTGTACCTTTCTTCCTTGCTTGCTACATTCACACATCGATCAGACTTCTCACACCTATGAAATATTATAAATTAGATGTCATTCCTGTTAATTGTCTCTGAATATATGAAATACCAACCTCCATCTTAAACACTGCACCGGGGACTTATGCCTATGAGATCGTCGATGATATTTGAGCATTTTGCACAAAAATGTTCATTTCACCGGTTATTCGGACACTCGTTACTGTCCACCGTTCACCGTCGATTGTCGTTGTTTATATCACTGAACTGTCACTGTAAGCGCTAATAGGCAGTAATTAAGTAACGGTTATATTTTGAGCACGTAAGGTATTATGGGAAGCTATTACGAATGATGGTGATTAAATGTCGAGTGACCTAGTAGTGAGCGTACGCGCACCTACTGTTATGTTATGCTTGGATAGTGAAACTTACGCCAATTCCCACTACGTATAATCAACGCGTACTACAAATCGAACCGTATAGGAGCATATATAATTTATACGTTTCACATCTCAATACGACTTACTACAAAATTATAAATAACTACATGATAAACTACGCGTACGAAATATTTCACAATTACTACAAAATTATTTTTACTCTGTAAAGTTTAAAACAAGAAGAGATATTCCGTAATGACATTCTATGGAATGTAGGAAAATATTTGACGTCCTGTATTATAAAGTAAAAATAGACTGTCCGATATGAGATAACAAACACTGCTTCTACACATATTTATTAATACCTATAAACATATAGGTAATTTCTACCAAAGAGACAATAGCGCGATCCTGAATGTAATGATTATCTCTGTAAATATCTGTAGCACTGTTTGGAAAAGAAAATCGCATTGTCTTAACGTCACTTACGTAACGTAAACATAAGTTATTTATAAATATATTGAATGGGTATTCAATCGATGTGAAACAGTATGTTTTCATTTTCACATATTTTTAAATATAATAAATTACTTCTATGAAATCTGTGACGACAGAATGATAATAGTAACATAACGCATAATTTAATATTTAGTAGTACAACAAAAACCAGATTTTAATCGTGAGTTGTGACAAATCGTGACCCGCGTCTTACGGTATGCGCCCCCTTAATTTGCGTTGTTGTATATTAGAAAGTAGATATTATACATAAAATGTTTTGTATTTTAGGTTAGAAATATTATATTTCATTTTTTTTATAGAAGAGTGTTCTCAATTCTATAGTATTTTATTGATATAGTACTGCATGCGATATATATATTTTGATCCGTTTACTACACGATTTACTATCATCCTGGGTGAATATCACAGACCTTTGTAATATCAAATACCAGTGAACGTAACCTATACTAATAATAATTATTTAGACGTATGGTTTGTTTGTCGCAAAAAAATCACAATTAGAATAATATTTAGGGTGTCTATAAGTTACATTAAACTATACTTAGTTCTAACCTAAATGACGCTGTTATTACTAGTTCTAGTTTATGAAAATCTCATATATAATATGAGAGAAACAAAAATACAGATTTTTATTAAGAAGAGAGTAAACTTGGAAAGCACTACACTCGTATAAGAAAAAAAATAACGTTTAAAAAATACATCACTTGATTATATCTTTGATTGACTATAACTAGTTATTTGTTATTAATATAGACAAAACTGACAAAGTTACAAACATTACCAGTTTACTTATATTTGTGAATTTAAATTCGTAATAAATATAAAATGTGACATGCAGAAAACGTACTTTAAATACGAATACAAAAAAGCGTGTCCACAACAACTAAATGTAACAAAAGGAAAACGAAATAGCGAGTAATTTCACATTGAACAATCGCTAACGACTACAAACGCGTAGTTAAACGGTTTGGTGTCGATAATTAAGTATTTTGTAGCTCTGTGAATGTGGATGTGACATTACGGATGTAAACGTAGACAAACAAATATTAATAAAATATTTTAATAATTCTTATTTGTCGATATTAATTCAGACGTATTCACAGGCGGAGATATAATACTTTTAGGGACATTGATTAATAGATAGAATAGATTGTGGAATAAAAAGTGTAAAAAAATTTTTACATTTACATATAAAATTAGTGTTCTTGTTGTTAAGTAACAATTATGTCATAAGTCCAACTGTGATGATAAATCAAGAGTAATTACTACGGTATATTTACTGAATATCTCAAGTGTAAGAGACTCCAAATGAAATCTTATTGCGGATTTAATAAATTGCAAATGCATATACAATAACAATACTTTCGTACAAGAAGAAAATCTTGATTCACCGACCAGTGCCATAATATAAAATTAGGTTATAATATTAACGTTTATAACGGTACTTTAAGAATTTGTTATAAAAATAACATTCTTTTAGAAACACTTTTTTCAATCAATCATAAATGTTCGCGTTTATTGTATTATAGGACAGAAAATTTCATAATACAAGCATGTCGACAGTTTAACACATGTTTTGAAACATTTAATTATAAAACATTGATTGTTCGTATTTATTATTTACTCGCTACTTATACATTTTTAAAGGTTAGGTCTTAGTAAGACGAGTAGGCTACTAATGTAAAAGTAAATTTATAATACCTATTTATACTAATACTGTAAAAAAAAGCTGATTTTCATTTGAGGCAGGTACACTCCGGAACCACTGCACCGTAGAAAATATCACACTGTTTGAAAATAACACTATTGAAGAACTACACTATGTCAATACAATGCTCTTACTTCATGTAATGAACGCACAGACAAAGACGAAGTGAGAAACTACTCCTGAATAAATAAATAACAAGAAACAGTTTTACATAATCCAGTACTTGTTTCGTAAGGTTATCCACTCAGGAGCGCAATATCCCGAGCGCTATTGTGTTGAGGACCCGTTAAGTAGCTGCTCATGGCATAGAATCCATAACGTCGGTGGTGGTCAAGCAGTTTGTCACACTGTCTTACCTTCCGATGGCCGCAGTTTGATGCTCACACAATACGACTATTTCTAGATGAGTATGATTATATGAATCACTCTTGAGTATTTTCTATCTATTATGATGTAGTTAGAAAAAAATATAACATAGAATAGCACGGAATAGAATAGGTAATTTAAACTAAATAAACAATATTTGCAAATAAACATTAAGTCACAAGTTAATATAAGGATAAAAAAAAATATTTGGAGGGTAGCAACAAGTCGTATACGTTAGTCACGTATACATTGGTCTAAATTGGTCTAAACGACAAGCACTCTGTGTTTTATTTCGATTGTAAAATCAGATTAAGAGCTATTATATCCACTGCAATGGCAACAAAAGAGAGGTATCACGGATGTTACATGATAATGTGATGTCCATGGTGCTGTCATAAGAGACTGTTGCCTTTTAGAATCAGGTGGGCTGTCAGCTTGTTTTTAATTCTAACTAGATACGAACAAATACGTTAAAACTCATTACGTTACGTAGTAGCTAA